ACTAGGTAGACAAAACAAGGAATCCTGATATGATATGGTTCGAAATATCTGTTTGGAGATACTAGAAGAAATGAACGCCGCATATCTTTCAAAATTTGAACTTATGATATTCACTAGACTGCACATTCAGGCTGTGCTTTCATTATCAAAAGTGACGTTCCACAGAAAAAATGACCTTAGCCCACAGTAGCAAAATTTTCAATAAAGCGAATACTGTGGAGTTGAGTCGGCAAGTTGTACTTCGAGATTCAAATTGAATAGTCTTTGTGATGTCCTTTCAAAAAAGTTGTGAGCAGTCGCCTTCATTTTCATTTTCTTACTCCCTTGCTAATAAGGAAGTAGTATCGTAAAAAAAAAGGAGAGAAAAAGGAGCTAAAAGCTGCAATACAATCCAGAGATTTTGTATCCTGTGCAGGACAGATTAAAATTTTGGATGGGTTTTTTGATAATACATTTTTTCCCCACAAAACTTCAGACCACCAGAACTCCTTTACAGCTCTACATTTTTGGAAACTTTTAATCGTGAAGTGTTTGTAGAGCACTCCTCTAAGCTAGGATATCAAGATCAAGAAGTTGGGGGCAAATCAGAAATATGCCGAAAGGCTGTGAGGCAAAAACACCCAGGCACAGCTAACAGTCAGCACTTTGGTACTTGCTGCACCCTTGAGATTCCGTATTCAAGAGGCATCACAGATAAGGGCTTTTTTTTTAAGCTGAACCACAGTGGACCGCAACAGAACGCATCACTTTTTTATCGCGTTCCATGTGTTCCAGTGGAACGCTAGGACCACTCTTCCGAGGTAGGTTGAGGTTGGTTCAGGCTGGTTGAACCAGCCCGAACCGCTATCATCGCATTCCATGCTTTCCACGGATAAAAAAAAGCCCTATAGGTACAAGCCAGACATTTTTCAGCAGCTAATGGAGGAGTCTCCAGTATGCTATCCATACCAATCCTCCTCTTACTGCATCCACGGGACTGATACAGGTTTCCTACAGGAAATAGTGTAATCTAAGGCCTTCTCCTCTTGAGTAACGGTTAGAAGAACTCTGCCAGGACAGGTTCGTGAATTTTTCAACAGTGAAGTTTTTGCCCTTTTCTGCCAGCCGACGAAATAATTTCATCTCAGCTTTGACTTACTTGGCCAAAGTTCCAGGAACCCAACGCGTTTAAACAAGGCTCTAAGTTATTAGAAAATGAATCTGATTAATCCAGCAGAACGATGATGTTCAACCACAGATAATGAGGAAATTCATGAAAAAACAAGATTTTTCTACGGAAAGAAGCTGATTGATAAGGTCCAATACCATGTGTCTCAATAAAAGGTGTGGGTCAATCCCTGTATTTAGGATCAAAGTATCAAAACCAGGTAAATTAGAAATTAAGTATTGAACTCTATGGTTCCAATTAATCGATTGAAGTATAGTTCACACTTAAACAATGACATATATAATTTCATCTGCCTTTCTCTATTCAATAGGAATGAATGACTTTTGAAGTTTTCAGTTCTTCAATGAAATCGTGAGATAACTGCTAAGGAGGAAATAATTAAATAGGCTTCTTCAACTTGTTACAGAGCAGTTGTAATTATAATGCATAATTCTACCATTACTCACTTCCCAGCGGAGAATTATTATACTTAAATAAGGTGGTAAATGAAGGCAGACTGATAACTAGTACATGTGATGGTAATATCTTTGTTACCTGGTCTTTTTAACAGAAAATTATAATGACTGATCTTCGAAAACAACTAAATGAGAGGCAGCAAGCTACCTTAGGGTGATTAAGGGTTTCACAACAATGGCCGAAACCTGGATCAAAGGTGATTCTCATTGAGGAAACAACGAAGAGGCTCTGAGAGAAGAGAGGAAAGTACGTCTATGAAGTCCCTCGGTGACACTTCCCAAATTGCAGAAAATAATGATGACTGTCTTGGGAAAGGCCCAATAATACAGATTGAGAGAGTTGCAATCAATTGAGGGGAGAGGGGGGGAGGGTTTATGAGCGACACAAAAGATCACTTTCCAGTCGGCTAGAGTGGAAAGATTACTTGGTGCATGGGGATGAAGAAAATAGGCTTTTAAACAAATAATATATTCATAAATAGAGCGAAAATCAATCTCGAACAGGCTGTGAGATTACAATATGGAGTTGGATTCACTCCATCAATTGCATTGCCTCCATGTTGAATCATGTGAGGTTATCAAGAAGATTAGGATGTGGGGTGAGGAAGGACAAGTCGATGCAGACGGACGGAAATAGAATCGGGCGCAGACCCTTCAGATGAAAAACCGCGAGGAAAGACGGAGTTTCATATCATGTAAATGTTATCCGCGAAAGAATTAGAGGACGGGAAATAGTTGGCGAAGTCTCTCAGTGCGTATTGAGGATAAGCATCATAAAGAAAATGGCGACCCTACAATGAACAGACAGTGCACTGTGGCTACAAACTTGAGACGAAGTTATTGGTCGCTGCTGCGGAAATAAGTCTGGAAATTAATGCACTCGTGCAGAGTAAAGGTATGGAAATACGTTTAAATACTCACTGAGGATATCATTTTGTTGAAAATCACAAAAATTAGAAGAAATTAGCTCACTGATGACAAGGCATACCCACACACAACCACGGAAAACAGAACACTTATCACAGTGTGTGCCAACCTAACCAGAAGGCACTTCAAAATTCCCTTTCCCTACTCAGAGGGAAAAAGGTATTGTCAAAATATCCCTCAAATATCGTGCGCACTTGCGCGATCATTCTGAAAATAAGGAGACGCACTGAAACACACCCTGTCTCATGAGAAGGCTCTAAATTTTGCAAATATTCTATTTAAAAAACTTACAGCTAAATATTAATGATATTTTGATATTCCATGGGCGGTCTGTGCGTGCGCGTTCCAAAGGATCCGATGAGAGCCCCCCCCCCNTATTTGATGGCTATTTCAGAAAACTCGTATTTTTATGAAATAAAAAAAATTTCCTCTCACTACGAATAAATTTATTCCCATTCTCCTCCAAACCCCTGCTTACGGATGGAAGATGTACCTACATATACTTACCCATTTGGACCGCGTTTAACAGAAAGGAACCAAGCCACACATTAGCTACCTACTCATTGGAAAATTTGACTTACAATTTAAATTTTTGAAAGGGAACGTTTCAGCAGATTCTTGTGAAAATATTGGGGAATTTACTTCGTATTGTGTAGATAATTCACTGAAATTTGCTCAAAAATTAACGCAACCGTTTTCATGTAAAAATCAAATTCCCCAATTTATTTGGCAATAGCTGATGTACGGTTTGGTTCCTTTTCTGCTTAAGCTCAACGCGGTCCATTTTTTCGACGATTTTCGGCAGTTTCCGAATATTTTTGACTGTTTCCAGCGATAATTCACCTCCGTGGCTGTTTCCAGATAAATTGAACTATTTCCGGCTATTTTTAAAGTTTCTGCTACTGGCAGGTATTACCCACCATGATGAGTAGGGCACAAGCCATTTCGAGTATTTTTAAATAATTCTGCCGGTTTTTTGCGTATGTTTCCATCGTTTTTCCACTGCCAACACCTACAAATGCTGCAATCTGTTGAAGAAAGCCCCCACTTATTATGCCCCCCCCCCCCCC